TGTTAGATGTAATGAAATATATTTTTTTTAAAATCATTTTTATATCAAAAATGTTTCAAATTTATTAATTGAGTAATTTATAATGAAAGTAAGATAACTATTTTAATTAAAAATAATTATTTTTACAATTTATAAATTAAAAATTTAAAAACGAATTAAATTCTATTTAACTGAAAATATATTTATTTATTTGTTTATTTATTTACTTAAAATTTGATTTTTATATTACAAAAAATATCTTTTTTAATAGTTAATTGAAACCTAAATTAAAATAAATGTTAAGGACTTAACAAATTACATGAACATTTTTCTAATTCAAATACTGAGTATCTATCAGGTCCTATTTTATTTTCTATTATATAGCTATCATAAAACTATACCACTAGTGACTCTTTTAATTTCTACATAATAATAATTTCATTTTAGATTTGTTATTCATCTTCTATTTTTGTATTTTTAACACTATTTGTTTGTTATCAAGCTTTACTTTTTTAGTAGCTAACACCATTCCAAAGCTTAGAATTTGAAAATTATTCTAATATTTTTTATTTTTATAGAGAAATTTCGGCAGATTAGATAATAAATACTTCCACTTTTTTTAACTGTGCTTTCTTATCTTTTTCTAAAATTTTCTTATTGGTGTTCTATAGAATAAACTAAGCATCCTTGTCAAATTAATTATGCTTTAAAATTAATTATGATATAATTTACATTTAATTTATAACTTTTTACAAAATATAAACTAAATATAATAATTTTTTACCCTTTGTTTTTACTATTAATTAATTCTATCAAATATTTACTGTGCATATTTAGGTATTTATTCCTTTTATGATAAAATTATTTTTTCAATTCAAATATTCCAAATAAATTAAAAACCTTTGATGTAAAAAAATTATTAATTTATTTTTGATATTATAATAAATTAAATTATTAATTAATTTAATTCTATTATAAAATATATATAAAAATCAGATTTTTTAATAATTAACTAAAAAATCTATTTCAGAATAAGTGGCATCCAAACCAAAAAATTTTTGTATGGCTTCTTGCTATAATGTATTTATCTTAATGGATGTAAGTTTAAAATAAAAGAAAGTAGGACTAATAAAAAAGGGTAAATAAGTCTTTATTGCTGATTCACTAAATATAGAGTTTTAACGACTTTTAATATTAATTATTAACCTCTTTATGATAATTACATAATTCATACCTGCAAAGTTAGGCAAAATGAAAATAAAACTATCTCTTCTTCATTACCAAACAAAATTTTCATATAAATTAAGAATTTAATAAATCAATAAAAGTTTTTGAATATACATATTAATTTAATAAAAAACATTTTTCATAAAATAGAAAATAATCAAATTTTTTATTTATCTTTGCAATTAGTTTTAAGAATAAAACTAAAAATCAATTAATGAAATTAATTTAATTTACTTTTCTTGTAAATTATCTTTATTAAATCAAAACACTAAAATTTATTTATCATAAATAAATAAAAATTGCATCATATTCAAAATTATAGTTTTTTATATGAAAAAATTCAGTTTTATTTTGGTTATAATTCACCTTTTAAACTAAGTAATTCATTA